AGTACCTTACGGCCTGTCCTGACCATTCCACCTCTCCAGCCCTGACTACGCCTGTGTTCCTGAAGCCTGCTACTTCTTCTGTGTTCCCACACATTTCTGGTCATACCCGGATCTCTAACACTGTTAAAGTTGAATTAAAACTCCTTAAAAATTTAAAAACCGGGAGCATGTTTCATAATGTGAAGTTGTGCTGAGCAAATTTGCACATAATGGGACACTTGCCTAGTAATAGGCTCTTCTTCAGTCAGTAATGGAATGATGCAAAACTGTCATAGTCCCTTTCATTACTCTGATGTTGGCACTTCCATCTTTGCCCGGCCAACTTACATGTTTGAAGCCTTCGACCACCTTGAATAACCATGATGGCGTAACTCCTGAGGATGCGCAGAAGAGGTACTACACGTCTCTACAGAATTGTGCAGAGTATGTACACCAAGCTTTGATACCAAGTCAATTTTAGGTACTTTTACCAAAGAAACTGCTTATCTGAATTTTTCTGAACATTTCCAGTTTAAGAGTTAAGCAGTTCCAATTTAAGAGTTATGCGATCCTAGGCCACTTGCACATGGCCGAAAGAGGGTCGCAATCGATGAGATTTATATACCCATACAGCCATGGCTTCAGCCAGCTGACTTGTATATGCTGGCTGTACATAGGTGTAGGAACCAAACACTGCTTCAGGGCAGAAAAATACTCCCAAATGTATGCTTTGTGACCTGCCCACAAAAGCTTGCCAAACTATTTCATTTTTAATTATAACACTTAAAGGAAACCTGTCATGAAAGCATTATGTAGGCTTCCACTGCTGATGGTTTGGCATCATTGCTTTGAGTCACTGACCTAGACTGGATTTAAGGGTTCTTTATTTAATCCAAACAACGGATTTAAGGGTTCTTGATTATTTTTTCTAGTCCTAACAACACCAGTCAAAGATAGGTTTCACAACAATTTCATTAAGAAATATAGTATTTAGCTACAGTGATTCAGCAGATTCACAAAAACAGAAGGCAAGATTGCACCACATTTAATTACCTCTTACTGGTTGTTTTATCTTGATAATTGTCTAACTTGAGTAAAATTAATATGACTTTTGCACAGTATAATTAATAGGCTTGCTTAATTTGTATGGAAAGTAGTAAGGAACATCAGCGGGGCAGGGGCGGTACCGTCTATGCTGTCCATCTCCCCCCTGCTGTTGGTTGCCAGGATGCAGGTTCCTTAATAGCTAAGACACAAATGGCTTGACTGCACAATATCATTGGTTGCTAGGACACTGGTGGCCAGGCAGCACAGTCTCATTGGCGGCTGCCTGCACCTTCACAGTCAAAGACACTGTGTGGCCTGGGGGTTTAACATGCTTTGAGGTCAGAGTGTCTGGTATGGACACTCTGTCTTCAGTGTTACCACCACTGCCTCTAAGTTGGCAGCCTCAACTGGCCTTATGAACTGCCCTGATGTGAAATAGAAAAACAAATTCATATACTGAATACTATTATTACTGGTATTAACCACATGCAGTTACCAGAATATAATTTTCCCCTATAGTGGTCATTTGATGGGTTATATTATGAGTTTGATCTCTTCCCTGCACGGTCTGTAAGTTTTTCAGAGGTGCCAACTAGCCAAATAGTTTGCTTGGCTGCACATTGTCATTGGTTGTTAGGACTGGTGGCCAGGCAGCACAGTCTGATTGGTTGTTTTGATGCAGGCAGCCAAAGACAATTATTATTATTAATATTATTATTATTTTACAGTATTTATATAGCGCCAAAAAGTTTGCTCAGCGCTGTACAGAGTAGTGGGGGACAGTACATGAGACAATACAGTAACAAAACAGTACACGAGGGGTTTGAGGGCCCTGCTCTTTTGAGCTTACAATCTAGGAGGGAGGGGATAGTGGCACAGGAGGAAGTGGCTGTGGGGGATGGAGTGGTAGGAAGAGTGGAGGAGATCGGCTGTTTGGTGAGGGTGGGGTAGGCTTCCCTGAAGAGATGGGTTTTCAGGGTGCACCTATAGGTGAGAAGGGTAGGTGGCAGTCTGATGGACTGGGGTAGTGAGTTCCAGAGGATGTGGGAAGTCCTGGAGAATTCCTGCAGTCGGCCGTGGGAAGAGGAGACCAGGGAGCTAGAAAGTAGGAGGTCTTGTGAGGAGCGAAGAGTATGGGTTGGGTGGTATTTGGGTATCAGGTCGGTGAGGTAGTTCGGGGCAGCGTTATGAATGGCTTTGTACGTCAGTATTAGTAGTTCGAATTTAATGTGTTGGGCAATCGGAAGCCAGTGGAGGGAATGACAGAGGGGAGTGGCAGATGCGGAGCGATTGGTAAGGTGGATGAGACAATGGGGTTGAATTATTAAAACTAGAGGGTTCAAAATCTGGTACAGTTGTGTTTGGTAGCCAATGAGCTTCTAACTTCAGCTTGTTCAATTAAGCTTTGACAAAAAGAAAGGAAGCTGATTGGCTTCTGTGCACAGCTACACTACATTTTGCACTCTCCAGTTATGGTAAATCAATCCCACTGTGTTGCCTATCGGTTGAACATGCTTTGAGGTCAGAGTGCCATTCCTCCTCTTCCATTTAAGTTAGCAGCCTCAATTAGCCTCATTAATGGCCCTGATCATTTCTAACCCATGTTGATAGATACAAATAATAAAATATGAAAGTCACAACGTAATGTCACCTTACTGGTAAACTTGATTTTTTTTTAAAAGTGGGCCTTTTAGCAAGTCTCCATAAATTCCAGAGGACCACAGCATACAGCATCAGAATCAATTTGAAAAAAAAAATCCACTTTTTATCTTAACCTTGACTTCCAGTTGAGTGGCTTTTCCCTATCTAAGATAATATTTGTGCCTAAGGCCATGCTGGACTGACTGGATCAGTCACTGGTCGTAGGTGGTTGTGTGGGTGGGTAGAGAGATGTCCTTTCAGTCGGTTGTGCCCAATGGTGGACACTGGTGGTAAACCCTTTTAGGGTTCGAGCTGCTGCATTTCTGGTGCGGCCTTAAGGTCGTTTCCACAAGTACACTTGTGTAACGGAACCGGAACCCAGACCGCACTGAGTTTTTCCGTTATACCACAACTTCCCCTGTCCGAACACCATCCACGGACCACACCCTTGAAATCCCTCAGGAAAAAGACAGCACCCAGCTCTTCTTAATACAGGAAGCCAACAACTTTACTTTATTTTACACAAACAACAGGATATATACAGAGGACGGGGAAACAACCAAGAACAGGAAATACATCATCACCCCTCCCCATCCCACCAAGACACAGAACAATGGGATGAAGCACATGGCAAAGGACATTGACCAACCCCCACACCAATACACAAACAGTACATCCCATAATAGTTGGCTGGACAGGAAGGCACAGCACAATGGGGGTTAGCACATGGCAAACAAACAATGGACAGCCATGTGGCCTAGACAAAGGACAACACACAAATGCACAATACTGGGACATTCACATGTACACCCTGTACCCTTAAACAGGCACAGGGTGGGTTAAACATAATGATTTGGGGAGATGATACAGAGGTCCCCCCACCCCCAAAAGTCACTCCCGTCAAAACTTGGAATAATAGGAAAGAATGAGCAACTGATGTCTAAAAGAATGCATTGTAAATTAAGAGGCATTTATTGATGACAAGTACATAAAACCAATGCATTTTCCAGGTTTTGGAGGAAAAACTGACAGCCTTCACTCTGTTGGTTTTTCCTTTGAAACCTGGAAAATATATAAACCCAGCGTGGGAATCTTTCCCAATTATTGGCGTGCAGCAACAGCCCTGAAAAAGGGAGAGTCCTTTCTCCTGAAACATGTTGCTTTGATGTATTTGTCATCATTCTCAATAAATGCCTCTTAATCTACCATCAAAAGGGAATTCTTTTGGACATCGGGCGCTCCTTCTTTCCTAATATTCCTAGGCTAAGATAATGTCACCAATTTTCTGCAGTCAGAAGGAAGTATTTCCTCAATTTACTCCCCCCAAATGATCAGACTGCTAACTCCAACACCCAGCAAGGACTGATCTGCGTCATACAGATGCACAGCCAACAACCAAACAGATACCATCATTTACATGGTCGAGTCAACCCTGAGCTGACATTTCTGCCAAAGAATTAGACGGTGACCCTGACGGATACTTGAACAAAGCTGTTGCTTTCCATAGCAGAATCAAGACATTGTCACGGAGAACAATGTGATCTGGTAATAAATACGTGGAAATGTTACAATGACGCATTGAAAAACAATTAATCTGACACTAAGCCTTTTTAGGCAGAGTAAAGAAGACCTATACCTTTACCTAAACGTTAGATATACTTTTCCTACCCAAATAATAGAGTCAAAAGGTAAAGATAACTCACAACCAATTATGTTACTTGTGAGATCTTTGCAATTTGTATACCCTGGTGTGACAGAGAATTAATTATGTGGGTGGGAAGAATGAGGGGTCAGGCATAGACTATGACTGGCTAGCTTTGGAAGGTTCCTCTGGTCAATGTTTTGGCACCAGGGGCGGACTGACAACTCATGGGGCCCCCGGGCAATATGGGATCATGGGGCCCCTGTGTCCTTGCCCAAACTCAAAAAATCCTATGAAAAAAGGTACCAGGGGCATCTCATGGGGCCCCCTACTGACCCCGGGCCCTCAGGCAGTGCCCGAGTTTCCAAATGGTCAGTCCCCCCTGTTTGGCACAAGGTCAAGTGACTAACTTTAAAATGGTTCCAATATCCTTTCTGGAGGACAATAATTGTAGCAAAGACAGCTGGCAGTAAAGCAGAGCAGCCAATTATTTGCAGATTCCTATAGCAACTAGTTAGATACCTAAAATCCCTTGACTGCTATGGGTAACTGTTTTACTTTTGCTGGAGATACCTTCTGCACATTAGAATAGGCAACCTTATAAGTAATGGTCTAGTAGAAGTTCAGGCTTTGCTTCTCTTCTGGCTTTGCCAATGACATTAATGTCTAACCCGTGTATATTCTATTGCAGGATCCCCAATCAGTGTGGCCGGTTGTGCTTCCGAGAGCATGCAAAAGTCTGGAGGCAAAGCTGCTTTTCGAGGATCGTCTGTTATTGTCCGAAACAGCGGCACATCGCGGAGACACAATATATATGTCCTGGTCTGGGTGGCTGCGACTGCCATATTGGGCCTATTTTGCCACTGACAGCATATAAAGCAGCCTTTCTCAGCCTTTTCACCCCAGAGGAACCCCTAAAATAAATTTCAGGTCTTGATGAACCGCTGATAAAACCAATTGAGAGTCAGTGGGGAAATGTCCCTTACATTGGTGGTCACTAGGAAGAAGTCAACCCTTATGATGGTGGATAGAATGCCACCCTTAGAGACAGCTAGAAAGATAATTGGGTCATGCTACTGATTTTACCTAGTAGTGTTGTCCTTGGAACTATGCAGTCACCATCACGTGAGAGGTCAATCAACCACAGTTCAAGTTACCCCTAGGAACCTCTGGAGGAACCCTATAGCTCCATAAAACCCTGGTTGAAAATGGCAGATAGAGAGGGTAGGAACATTATATCTATGAGTCTTTGCCAAGACATAGACAACAATTAATACAAAACCATGAGCCAGGTCGTCATAAAAAGACTTTTGATTGCATCGCATGCAGCACTTACAGTACTAAAGTCTAATTTTACATGATTGTTGTGACCTTTACATCCCAGTAAAGAGCTGGTAAAGAAAATGTACATCCAATAATGTAAAAAAAAAAAAAAAATGTTGTCATTCACAAACCAATGTAAAAACATTTCAAAATCTTCTTAAAAATGGGAAGCTACTATGAATAAAGGCAATATAGAGAACCAGTGGTGGATGGTTACCAAGAGGCTCCTGTTCAAGTCCAGTTTAAAGCTTCCCCTTTCAACAGCTGGCCAGTTAAAATGATGTGTTCACTGATGGAAACTGATGACTGTTACCAAAACTGGAGCAGCCAATGCCCATGTCTATGGTACACTACCCATCTGATACATCTAGTCAAAATGGACCCTTAATTCCTTTTCGGCCCTTGTGCATCTGCACAACCTGCACAAATGGCATGTCCACCCTTGTAGTGAGTAGATGGATTTAACTACACAATGTTTTCAATGTTCTCTTCTTGCCTGTTAATTCCGTAAAAGTCACCTGAAGGCCCTTGTGCAGCAGATTTTTTTCTTCGTCTCCCTATAATCTGTTAATCCTGCCAGTAAATCTATTATTTTTCCACTTCTTTTAACAGGTTGACAACAATGAGAAAATATAAATGTGAAATAGAGAATGGAGTTCATATGCTGAATACTATCATTACTGGTATTAACCACATACCAGAATGCAATTCTTTTCTCTATTGTAATCTTTTGATGGGTTATGAGTTCCTTGTGTGGTCTATAAGTTTTTGGGGGGTGCCAAAAAATGTTGCACTTCAGCACATGAATCAGATCTGGAGTCTCAATCCGCCCATACTTAGTACCCTAGTTCTCAAGTGTGCAAGTTAGCTCATTCCAGGCTGAATCTTGATCACCTCAACCCGAGTTGTCCAATCTAAAAAGTGGCCAATCACATGATGCCTTTTTTAGTATATTCAATGTGAAGGACCCGAGCCAATTATCTAATGCTTACTTTATTTTAACATGTGCAGAAGATGATTTCTGAAGATGATGCTGTACATATATTTAGCTCATGGAAAACACTGAAAATGTAGCATGATTAATGTGTAGAAAATAAAATGTAATTGCTTCTTTGCACATTTTTTAAAATTCAATAAAGAACTAATCAATATTGTTGTGTGGTCTCAAGCATGTTGCATTCACAATAATGCTTTGAAAACCTGAACAGAAATATGTTATTGTTAACATGTTCATATATACACTGTATGACCTAGAGTATGCGGTGACCCCTCCAAATTATTGAGTTCAGGTATTTACAGTGAAGGGTATTATTAACGCTACAGCATTCAAGGACATTTTAGACAATTGCATTCTTTGATCCTTACACTTTGGTGAAGGCCCTTTTGTGTTCCAGCATGACTGTGCCCCTATGCAGGAGCATATTTTTTACAAGGCAAACAAGGCACTTGCCTAGGACAACATTTTTCAGGGGGACAGCACCTCCCCCCAGAAGAATGAATGGAAGAAGTGACACATGCACCATCGGAACCAGATGGGATCCGAGAGAGGCTGTGGGCTGCTTGATGGTGTATGTAGAGCCTGACTCTCGTTCTCAGGGATGTCCGGAGCTGTGAAGATGAGTGTATTCCTCTCTATCGCCGGGGGGGATTAGTGGAAGACTCTCCCAGGTGGGGGGCAGCGGTGTTGTTGTTCAATGTCAGGCTCTCTCCGTGGGAGGTTAAAGGGGGGGTGTAGGTTCATGTCTTTGGGGGCAGACAATATTTGTGTTGCTTAGGGTAGCACAAAACCTAAATACACCACTGCCCCTATGCACAAAGCCAGCACTACAATGACATGGTTTGACCAGTTTGGGGTGGGGGAACTTGAGTAGCCTGCACAGAACCCTGACCTCAACCCTAGCCAAAAATGCAATTACCCCTTAAACAATATCATTCAACCCTTGAGCTCCAGTCAGTTGGTTTGCCTAGACTGAGATGATGTCCTTAGTCTGCCAAAGGCAGGAGAAAGCATTACCTCAGTCTCCACGCCTCCAGTGATTAAATGCTTGGAGTTCCATTTTAAGCCAAACCAACTGCGGTCCTTTTTAACATTTACATGTCAATAAAATTAAAGTGGGTCCACTTATTTCCCAAGGGCTCCTTACCCTTTGGCAAAACCTGCACAAAAATGAAAACAAAAAAAAAAAATAATTTGAATTCATGTGGTTAACATACCCCTGGCATCCACTTGTATCATCTAGGTAAGGGTGATGCCACCATTCTTTCAGCAAGATCTGGGAAATCTGGGTAGCCCATAATCCCATAAGAAGTTTCCACTGCACTGTGCTGGAGTTCAATCTCACAAGATTTAGGCTACTCAATGAGATCTTGTTGGAAGGATGTTGAGGTCATCCCTTGCTGTATGGAAGTCTGGGGAAAGTACCTATATATCAACTATCTTTCTTTGACCCAAAATTTGAGTCCTTTATTTTGTTTTCCTTTAGTGTTTAGGCATAAGGGAAGGGGGCCCTTAGTAAATTAGTGGGCGTGGCTTGTAGTGCAAATCCTTCAGGTTCTAGGCAGAAAATACTGGCTCCAAACTCTCTCCAACCAAAACTCTTACAAGTCAAGGTCTGTGGCAACCATTAAAAACAATTGAATAGTGTGAGATGCTAGACACAGACACTCAAATGGTCACATGGGTCAATCTTCACATCTGGTTGGTCCAAGGAAGAAGCAGAACTGGGAGGTCAATGGAAGACTGAGAAATTTAAATGTATTCAAGCCATGGAGGGTACCAAACCAATGTCTCTGTAGTCAAATGCTTTCTTACTTTGCTTGGCACAAAGACACACAGCGTCCAACATGAGTTGGAGGCCAAGAAAGATCCCCCTTCATTGAAGCTTAGAACACTGTAGTGGACAGAGGTGGACTGACAACTCATGGGGCCCCCGGGCAATAGGAGATCATGGGGCCCCTGTGTCCTTGCCCAAACTCAAAAAAGCCTATGAAAAAGGTACCAGGGGCATCTCCTGGGGCCCCCTACTGACCTCAGGCCCTTGGGCAGTGCCTGAGTTTCCAAATGGTCAGTCTGCCCCTGGTAGTGGAGTATTTGATGGACTCTAGAATGTTTCTGGGTATAGCTATAGCAGAGTTAATCAAGAAAACAATCCTTCATTGCTTTTCCTAGTGTCAGCGGCAAAATGGAATTTAAAAAAAATGGTCCTACCTTTGATAACATTAAATACCAAGCTGTACGCATCTTGGGCTTCATACGACTAAATCAAGATTAAAGCCATTCTCCTTAGTTTTATTAGATGGAAATACAGCCAAAAAGAAATAAAGAATTTGTCAGTCTTTTAGTCTACCACACAAGCCATCAGAGGAAGGGCAAGATAAAAAGATTTAGCAAGTGTGGACACATTTCCTACAAATCCTTTAGAGGTAACTTTCCATTCGTGATTGTTCAGAGAGGATTGTGAAAGCCAGATCCTTTCATCAGCTAAAACCTCTGACAATGCAGCAATAAAACAGGTCACAGCATTTAGCTTTAATCATCACAGAGTTCATGATACCGTTTATGTGAATATAATTGCCACTAACAAACTGTTGGATTAGGCTTCTTTTATTTCAAATATTGAAAAAAAAAAAAATTGTTCAAATTGCAGATGACTGAGAGCAAATAGAAAATTATACTGAGACATGCAACTTAGGCAGGAGAATTCAGCATCACAGAGTACTGAGTATGAGGTTATTAAACAGGGAAGCACCAAGTTAGGTGCTAAATGTAGTATTCATAGCAGCCAATAAGCTGCTCACACAATTTTTTTTTAATATACGTGATAGTTACAGGGATGAGCAAATTTCAATTGGGAGTTTTAATTTCCTCCAAATTTCAGAGAAATCAGGGAGGGTTGGGTAAAATTAAAAGCTACGGACACAGCTGATCACGTGATATGTGGTAAAAGGCCAATAACAGTGGTTTTTTTACCACGTGATCAGCTGTGTCCAATGACACGCTGATCACAGGGAAATGCAATTGCCGGTTCTCGGCTGCACTTTCCTCACGCTGTCAGAACGTGGGGAATGTACTGCCGAAGAACCGGCAGTTGTCAGAGCGGGGATCTGATGAACGGTGCCCAGCAGTGCCACCCACCAGTTCCACCCACCTGTGCCCAGCAGTGCCGCCCCCAGTGCCCAGTGGTGCCACCCACCAGTGCCCATCAGTGCCACCCACCTGTGTCACCCAACTCTGCCCATCAGTGCCACCAACCTGTGCCCATCAGTGCCACCCACCTCTGCCCATCAGTGCCACCCACCTCTGCCCATCAGTGCCACCTACCTGTGCCCAACAGTGCCACCCACAGTGCCAATCAATGCAGCCCAGCAGTTGTGCCAGTCAGTGCCCAGCAGTGCTGACAGTCAGTGCCCAACAGTGCCGCCTATCAGTGCTGACTATCAGTACCCATCATCAGTGCCGCCGCCTATCCGTGCCACCTTATTAGTGCTGCCTATCAGTGCCGCCTATCAGTGCCCTCTAGTGTTGCCTATCAGTGCCCATCGGT